TTAAATGCATCCATGTCCCCTCTGAGATAGGCCTACATTAAACTGTGTAAATACATCTAAATGCTATTTCAGATGCAGATTCCAGAAATGTTTTCTTATGTTGGAATGAAAGACACTAAGTACCGGATGAAGTGCTTCTTATTCTTACCCAAAAATACAAAATGGAAGAAAGAGTTAAAACTGAACACAATCTTGCTACTCAAGCTGTGTATGAACATGTTATATATATTATTTATTTGCTTCTTTTCCATTTTGCATTTACTTGTACTTTTACTTTCAATACTTAAGTACGTTTAAGATTTTAAAAATACGTTTCGTACTTAAGTACAATAAATATCACATACTTTAAGACTTTTACTCAAGTAATATTCTAAACAGTGACTTCAACTTCTACCAAAGTCATTTTCTGGTAAGATATCTGTACTTTTACTTGAGTATGGCTTTCAGGTACTTTATACACCACTGGGTAAAGGGCATGACATTTCCCGACCAGGCGCCGAGTGGTGCCAATCACAACACACACTGGCCTAGCTAACCAATCACAGCACATTTCGTATTTCAGAAGGCAGGCCTTCATTTGATACAGGAACTATTCAAGCCGTTCATGCCAGACTGTGGAGAGAGGTGTTGTAATAATGTAAAATATGTGAAAATAATGTGTTTTTCTAACAACCTAGTATGATAGCCTGTTCTACTACACCCCCAAAACAAAATCAAGACTTTGTAAAAGAGCATAATAGGACCCCTTTAACACAGGTACGGTATGTGTCCTCACCGTGGACACCTGTGAGATGTCCGCCCTGATGTGGACCACGTCCTCCCGTAACAACTTCTGTTGATAGGCAATCTTCTCTGCATGGGCGGGCTGATCCTGATACAGCTCCATCTGCTGATGGGAAACATCCAGAACTGACTCGAGCTTGTCCTAGATTTGGGTGAAAAATAGAAGATGATGCAGATAAAGAAGTAGCACTAGGGACCAAGACATCAGGTTGGACATTAGGGCTCCACAATTGTTCAATTCTGAAAACAGCATTCCACTGAGGTCTAAATTTAGCTTTATGTAGCAACATCTAATTATATATCTAAAATTGGTTATATTCAAGTCAAAATTGTGGTGAAATCAATCCGACTATATTAGGTTACAACAGTAAAAGTAATTTTAAAGGGTTTGATAAACTAGATAAACTAAATCTTCAAGCGACTGACATGACAAACCACAATGTATCCATTATAATCAACATAGGGATAGACACAGAATAAATCATATTTTTATTGTGCAGAGTAGACATCTTTGGGATATTCAAAAGTTTGAGGTCTGTAAGATTTTTCAATGTTTTTGAAAGAAGTCTCTTATTAGTCTCACCAACAATAAATCAGTAATATTGAACAATTAGATTACAATTTACAATAACTTTTCTATTTTCATATATTTTAAAATACAACAACTTTTATTGGTAAAGCTGGAATTCAGCAGCCATTATTTTAATGGAAACTGTGATGCATTTTAACAGGATTCCTTAATGAATAGAAAAAAGAACAAGGGCTCCACAATTGTTCAATTCTGAAAACAGCATTCCACTGAGGTCTAAATTTAGCTTTATGTAGCAACATCTAATTATATATCTAAAATTGGTTATATTCAAGTCAAAATTGTGGTGAAATCAATCCGACTATATTAGGTTACAACAGTAAAAGTAATTTTAAAGGGTTTGATAAACTAGATAAACTAAATCTTCAAGCGACTGACATGACAAACCACAATGTATCCATTATAATCAACATAGGGATAGACACAGAATAAATCATATTTTTATTGTGCAGAGTAGACATCTTTGGGATATTCAAAAGTTTGAGGTCTGTAAGATTTTTCAATGTTTTTGAAAGAAGTCTCTTATTAGTCTCACCAACAATAAATCAGTAATATTGAACAATTAGATTACAATTTACAATAACTTTTCTATTTTCATATATTTTAAAATACAACAACTTTTATTGGTAAAGCTGGAATTCAGCAGCCATTATTTTAATGGAAACTGTGATGCATTTTTAACAGGATTCCTTAATGAATAGAAAAAAGAACAGCATAGAAATGTGTAACTTTTTAACATTATTTTGTAACATTAACATGATCTTTACAGTCACTTTGGATCAATTTAATACATCCTTTCTAAGTTATTAGAAACTAAGTTCTAACATAAAGGGTTATTAAAGGGAATAATGCATTATAATTATTCATAATATGCGTTGTAATGCATTATATATTGTCGTAAAAAATTATAAACTAATTTAAAATGTATAGTGTAACAATGAATTCACAAGTGTTATAATGTATTAACTGTGGTTACGATTATTCGTGAGACTGTACAAAGCATTATAAGGTGCATTACAAGGCATAAAACTACATTTATAATGGATTATACATAAAAGCTTTAAGTGTTACCAATAAAAGTATTAATTTCTTTTACAAAAAATAATTAAAATATAAATCTTGCTGGCTCCAAGCTTTTAAATAGTAGTGTATACAGCTTAATTGATATCAAATGACAATTATGATTTCTGCCATAAATTGGGTTGCCCTGCTTTACCATTCAGTCGATACACAATTCAATATCCTTAAAGCCTGATTTGGAATACTGAATTTAGATAAGGAAAAAAAAGCACCTTATCTTCTTTGAGTGTGCGTATCCTGGCCTCCAGCTCTTGTAGGATCTTGTCTTGCTCGCATAACCTACTAAGCTTTACCTGGAGAGACAATCACAAGCAGCAATAAAACATGGTCACCAAACAGAGGCCACGACTGAACTGAATTCATTAACACACAAACATATCAAACAGAGGGCCGACAGAATACATTCTTCCGCTATTCCATATTCAACATTTCCCACTATTGAAGATACCCATTAGCATAAATTCCATGCACCCAAGACAATTCTGGTGTCATTATTTGCAGAAACAAACAGCATTTTCTCAGCGAAAAATGGGTTAGGGTACGTGTGCTCGTGCGGGAGAGACATAGGCGGCAGAAGTGCCTTGTTTACAGTCTTCTTCACACTGCCTGTTTATTCTCCGCTGTTTATCGTTCCCTCCGATTAATTATTAAGCTGTTATTATTTTACAGCCATATATTGTTGTTTTAACAATATTAAATATTCATTACGCAGATAAATCCACCAACAAAATTCTTATAAATTGTTAAACTGAAACAATGTTAATGATGAAAAGCCAGGACTTCCAGATTATTTACCTCCAATCAAACGAAAAACAGTGAGAGCACTGGAATACAAAAATCAAACTGAAAAATTTACAAGCCCAAAGTATAAAACTCCCATTGCATGTATTTTTCTCTTTAAATTGAGCATTGAATATAAAAAGCCCTCGTCAATAATTTCAATTTCTTCTTGACACCGAGAGAGCGCTTGCTTCTCCCCACAGCATGTGCACCGCCTCACTCCGATGCCTGTGTTTACTTGCACAAATTCAGGCTTGACTAACAGCTTTCTGTGCAAAGCAAACAGAGAGATCGAGAGGGGAGACAAGGCTCAGAAAGTGGGCTTTAATAAACAGAGAACAGAACTTACATCTATGTCACTTTCAGCTATTTTAACAGGCCGAGGTGGTCGATCTTTAAGTGAGTCACGTTCAGTTACCTGTTGACGAAATGCAAAAGCTCATACACTTTCAAAGACATTAACATCAACATCAAGACTAAGAAGCTGTACGGTTGCATCGATCAAGCAACCATCAAGACTGCACAGCCTATTGACAAAGGGATGTTGAAATCATATAAACAAACTGTGCTTTAGCAAACTCATAATATCTCGAGATGAACAAAACAACAACAACAAAAAAACAAACCAACACTCTTTTTGGAAGCTCTGCGATGTGTTTACGTACAAACAGCAACTGGGGTATTTGGGGAGAGCCGCAATGATCCACCCAAAGCGCTGCTCTTGATTTGGCAAGGTATCAATACTTTTCATCAGTGGTGAACTTGACATGAACCGTGTGGGAGTGAAGCCTACGACAAGCTGCAACCCACTGAAAGACTATCATTTAGTGATAAACAGGGGTTGGCTAAAGGATACTTTATAAGTAAGAGCAGCTGTCTATAAACGTTCACTCATTAACAGAAAACCTCAGACTCTAGGGTAATTCCTTGATGCCTAATGTCTTCATGGAAATAATTAGCACAGCCTTTACATAATGTTCACAATTACAATGCAATCGCTATAACAATCCCTCATCAGAGCAGTATTGATATTTTACCTAAAGAACAACCTTGGGCGTCCTTGAAAAAAAAATTAAGCTGTCAAAGTAGCACATGCGCACAAGAATGACTCTGCAGAGCAACGATAACGGTCCAGGGGGTTTACATCACTGCATGAAATGGTCACATTTGGTTACGCACACCATCCTTACATTCAGACAGAATGCACTGTGTACCGAATAGATGAGAGGTTCAATACTTTTCATCTGTTTGAAATGAAGATAAAAGGGTTGTTGTGAACCATGGGTATAAATTTAGGCAATGCATACATTTGAATTCTGAATTAATAATTAAAGCAGGTAATGCGCTCCATATCAAACAGGATCGGAAAAGTCGGTGAACATAAAATGTTTGTGACAAAAGTGGAGAAACTCTTTATAAGGCCACTGATGCCACTGGACATAAGGAAAACAACTCAGAATCAGATTCTAGAAAAATCAAAATCTCCTCCTGCTGGGAGCCATCACTAGTCACTACATCCATGCATCCGCAAATAATTTTATTGCTAAACTTCAGCATAAAATCTGATTTTTAGCCGTAAAAGTTTAAAATCACATAATGCTCTCTTGTGAATATTGACTGATGTAAATTTATTTAATCAGTGATTTCAAAATTCACTCTACACATCCTTCAGGGTTAGAGAGCAGAGCAGCTGTTATAGAGAATAAGGAGAGGGGGGAAATCAGGAAGAATTTATGCCTTGAGGAGAGAGGGAGAAGATGAGAGGAGGAGGTAGGTGAAGGCAAATCCACTAGAGCCCACCTTCAGGTCTAGATACTCCAGGTCCTTCTTCAGCTGGATGTAAGTGTCATCTGCCTTTAAATGGGAAATGAAGAAACAGGTCACATGACACATGGTTGAGAGTACGACGTGCAAGACTAATGCTGCGTCTCAATGTGCCTACTTATACTACACCCTTAAAGTATGTACTCTTCCGGTGAAGAAAAAGTACACACATTTGAGTGTGTAGTAGAAGAGTAGGAAAGCTTTGGGACATACTATCACGTCACACAACTGCGTCTTTAAAGGACCGCTCTGTCGCACCTGTTACACGCACCCTGTCACTGTAAACTGGCCTGTCAATCATCTTGTCACAGTTAACATCCTCCACATTTCATTTAATTTAACTTCCTACCGTACTGTGGAGAAAAGAAGTAGCTCGTTGATCTGCCAGTCTCGGGTCTTTCATGCCGAGAACTCTGCTCATATTTTCTGCATAATGATGCATTTAAAAGTTAACGACCAAATGGATGTTTATAAAAGTTCACATTGCTGTTGCAGATTAAATATTTTTTACCAGGTTAAATGTTGATTATTAGTAACTCAAACCCCTTTTTGTAAACCTCTCTACCTAACCGCTGATCGCGCGCATCCGCCACGCTTGTAGTTTTTCCTAACGCGTTTTATTCATGTCTGTAGTTCTGGACCAAATCCTTCACCAAAGCGCAATGGATTGTGGGCAATTTTAGCCATTAGAGTGTGCATGGATCCACACTTCAAAAATCGACCTGAAATAGTAGACCATCCGGGGACTTTTGGCATACTCTTTTCAACATACTATGCTTTGGGACACACTTATTCTAATCTCACATACTATTTAGGATGGATAGTATGAACATTGAGACGCAGGGTAAGACTGATTTTCATGCACACTGTAAATCCAAATGCTGGTACATGATTACACATTGTGCAAGTGCATGTTATCATGATGGTTATTTAGAAATCATGGTTATTAAAAAAATACACTACTGTTCAAAAGTTTATGGTATTTTTTTTTACTTTAGAAATTAATAATATTTTTAGCATACAATGAAACATCATTTAGCAAAGATGTATTAAATTGATCCAAACTAAAAATAAAGATATTTATAATGTTACAAAAGTTTGACATTTCTGTGCTTTTTTTTTTACTTTCTATTCACCACAGAATGCTGAAAATGTATCAGAGTTTCCAAAAAACATTAAGCAACTATTGATAATAACGCTGATAATAAGAAGAAATGTTTCTTGAGAAGCAAATCAGTATATTAGAATGATTTCTGATGGATTATGTCACATTGAAGACTGGAATAATAGCTGCTGAAAATTCAGCTTTACCATCACAGGAAATTACATTTTAAAATATAATAGAAAACATTTATTTTAAATTGTAATTATATTTCACAATATTACTGTTTGAACTGTATTTTTGACCAAACAAAAGCTTTGGTGAGCATAAGAGATGGCTTTCAAAAACGTTTAAAGAAAATGTACTGATCCTAAACTTCTGAGCAGTAGTGTACATAATACATTTTTTGTTTGTTTGTTTATTTTTTGTTTGTTTTTTAGTGCTGTCAAACGATTAATCGCAATCAATCGCATACAAAATAAAAGTTTTTATTTGCATAATATATGTGTGTGTTCTTATGTATATATAAATACACACACATACAGCATATATTTT